CTTGTTGTCACGGCTCGCTGGGGATTGGCGGGTGCTGGAGCAAATGGGCTCGTTTGCCATCTACCTTGTTGGCTGTGCTCCTCTTCAGGGCACAGAGCAGCACCTTGCCAAGGCCACCGCTGTGACCTGGGCTCCTTTTTCCCACATCACCTTGGATGTTGGGTTGAGATGTATGAGCAAGTAGGGCATGCAGAGCCATGCCCCCCTAAAAATGGGGGGGGTAGGAGTGGTGCCTGGCCCGAAGCCTCCATGCAGGGGATGGTTTTACCTCTTGCTTCTGCTTAGGGATGAGCCTGGAGAGCCTCAGGGAAGGCCTCTGACTACGGAAAAACCCCTCGGAGAGCGGTGGCTGTGCAGAGTGGAGGAGGGTGCGTGTCTGCCGGCGCGGGCGGGTTGAGCTCACGCTGAAGGAATTTCAGGGTATTGTGGAGATGCCTCAGCCAGCCCGCGCCGGGGCCCCCCACGGCTGCGACTTCAACCTCCACGTGGGAAGACGTCTTCTTTTGGTGCATCTCTTGTTGTTGAACCTCCTAAATGCGCAAGCCAAACTCCAGGACCCAGGGTTGACCCAGCTGCCACGTGTGCCATCAGGCTGGTGGTCCCTCACCTGTGACCCTCTCAGAGGGATCTCATTGCCCCCTTCTTTTCTCTGGAGAAATGCCCCCACGTCCATCTCTCCCTCCTCTGCTATGCTGATGGGGCCCCAAACCTGTTTGCTGAAAAACAGTACAAAGCCAAAGCAACCAACGGGCAGCTTTGAATCTTAGGGGAATTTTAAATAATTTTCCTGATGATTTTGTTTTTTTCCCCTACGGAAGAAAATGCACCTGCTCATCCTTCCATAGACTATGTGTGTGTGTATATATATATATTTTTATCATGAGTTACTGAGGGAGGGAAATCCAAGACCTGATTTTAGCAGTGCAAAAGCAACACTTTGAAAAAAAAAAAAAAGTCCGAAGGAAAACCACAGCAAGCCTCGGCTTTCATTGCTCTATTTTTGCGTGTACAGAAGTGGACAGCCTCTAGCCTCGCGTTTCCCTGCAGCTCTGGGTGGCCCAGGGAGGAAGGGGAGCCGGGGAGCGATGCTGATGGAGAAAAGCCCCTCTCTGCTGCAGGGGGGGCGGCTCGGAGCCGAGCGACGTAGCTGGGGGGGTGCAAACCCCAGCCGAATGAAGGCCCCTCCATTCCCCCTCCCCCGGGACGCTTCGGTGACGGGGACATTGGAAAAGCTTTGCAAGCCCGGGAGGCTTCGCACGCCTGGGCTGGGTGCAGAACAAATGCCGGTCCGGCCGTGCCTGTATGATAGCAGGGGAAAAAAATTGCTGTAAATAGGAAAAGCACACTGTATGGCTTCGCGGGTCTGCGTGGGCTGAAAGCAATCGTTTACTGTCCGAGATGAATGCAATGTGAAAAAAGAAAATTGGGGCCTGGAAAACTTGGGTGGAAGGTTTATTTTTCCGGTGATGCTTTCGTTTTGTTACATAACCCGAAACTCCCCTACCGCTGTTAATCTGTCTCATATTTTGTAATAAAATTTTATCACGCGGAGACCTGGTCGTTCTTCTGCTCCCTCCCATGGCAGACACCCTTTTTGCCTTTACCCGCTGCTGCCTGTGTGCATCTGGATTTTACAGGCTGAAGAAAAGGCAAAAAAGCTTTTTTATTCGGTTGGACTGAGAAAAATGGGTCTCCGAGCAGGGGAAGGATCCGTGCATGGCACAAGACACCAGGCAACGCTGTGAGTGCTGGTGCTGTTACATGGCCTAAGCTGCCGCGAGCCCTTTCTCAAACCGATGTTGCAACACGGCGCGAAGAAAAAGGAAGGGCAGGACACTTCATTTTTTTAATCCCCTCTGCCTTTACTACGTGCTTTTTGCCTTGTGACAGGAGAAGGGGGCTTCCACGGGCCAGAGGGAGCGGGAGCCTCCTCTGTCCCTACACCAGGCAGAGGGGACGAGGGAAGAGACGGGGAGGACAGGAGGAAGTGCTGGGGACGCGGTGTTGAAAATCCCCGTCGGTGTCCTATTGTGTGTATGTACACACGCGTCTGTACGTCTGCAAACAGGCGGCAGGGGTTCGGCGAGGGCTGCTGTGAGCTCATGCCTTTGGCACGCGCGCATGCACAAACACCAACAGACACATGCACACAGCCCCCGGTCTGTATCTACAGGCTGAGCAGAGCAGCTCTTTGTAAGCTGTTCCTGGCAGGATCCCGCCTGCTTTTTCCAGCACCTGCTCTGTGACCCCTTCCCGCAATGGCCCGGCTATGCTTGCACAATAAAACTTTCTTTATTTCTTAAAAAGCCCAACCAAAATCACAGAATCACACAAGGTTCAGGGTTGGCAGGGACCTCTGTGGGTCACCCAGCCCAACCCCCTGCCCGAGCAGGGTCACCCAGAGCAGGCTGCACAGCACCGCGTCCAGCCGGGTCTGGAATATCTCCAGAGAAGGAGACTCCACAGCCTCCCTGGGCAGCCTGGGCCAGGGCTCCGTCACCCTCAGAGGGAAAAAGTTCTTCCTCAGGTTCAGCTGGAGCTTCCTCTGCTTCAGTTTGTGCCCATTGCCCCTTGTCCTGTTGCTGAGCACCACTGGAAAGAGTTTGGCCCCGTCCTCCTGACACCCACCCTGCAGATATTTATAAGCATTTCTAAGGTCCCCGACATTGCGACTCTTGTCCGTGGGTGTATATCACTCATGAGCTCAGACCAATGCAAAGCAGTCTTGGCTCCAGCCCCCTCATCATCCTCACAGCCCTCCGCTGGGTTCTCTCCAGTAGCTCCTCATCTTTCTTGAACTGAGGAGCCCGGAACTGGACACTTCATTACAATGGTGAGAAGAGGTTTTTACATCCTATTCCTGTGGCTTTTAGACCCTGTTGATGGTCCCCGAGTATCGCACTGTTTTGCTCTCCAAGTCTTTCTCCTCCCTCCGTGGTTTCCAGATATCACTGTCACTGAACCAGGCTGCCCAGGGCAGTGGTGGAGTCACCATCTCTGGAGGTGTTCAAAAAATGTGTAGATGTGGCACTTCGGGACATGATTTAGCAGGAAT